TGAAATGCTTGTGGCATTTCTAGTTTGTAAAAAAAATAGCTCATTTTAACCTAATTTTTACTCCCTGAGTCATTTTGTAAAGAAGCCTCAGGGAAATTGATCTGTTTTCCACCACCCAAATTGTCATTTTTTCCTGGGGCAAAACTGGTATTGTGTGTAGTGACTAGTCAAGCTCAAAAAGCTGCTGTCTTGGTGGTGAATCATGTGCTTACATGGGGCCTTGGGCCATGCCATGTCATTTTTACTTGGTTGTACCTGATTTGCTTTATTACTTACCCTGTGCTATGACACATCTGGGCCTTAAGATGCTCCTGGCAGCGGTGGGCCGCTACGCTGCACTACGCTACAGGCCCATGTAGTGTTACCGTAGCGGCACCATTTTTTTCGTGTAGTGTTAGCGCGCCACTACTGCCGCTGCGCTACACTAACTTGTAGCGGCGCTAACACTAGCCAAATTTTGGTGTAGTGTTAGCGCACCGCTGGCGCAGCTACGCTGCGTTACACTACATTACAGCGTTTTTAGCGGCAAAAAACACCTAAAAACCTCTAAAAATGGCTGTAACGCAGCGTAGCGGGCGGTTTTTTGCGCCCTGTGCGAGTAGCGTTAGTGCACATGGGGGGAATCGCGCTAACGCTACGCTAAACGTTAGCGCAAATTTTTCCCCCATGTGTTAGCGCAGAAATTGAAAAATGCGCTAACGCTACGCTACATTGTAGCGCTTTTTCGCTACGCTAACGCTACGGTTAGCGTAGCTGGCCCACCATTGCTCCTGGTTTATAATTATTCATTGTATTCCAGTGTATTTTGCAGTAATATTTCACTGCAAGAAAAAGGCAGGCAAATGTGTACAGTCTACATGTGATACTACAAAGGCACCTTTGTAATATCACATGTCAACTGCACACAGTTGCCTTACTTTTTCTTGTAGTGTTTGAACCTTTTTTTCTGATTTCTTTTTGATCTCACTTCTGTTTTTCAAGTGTTTTTCCAATAGAAAACCCAAAACTTAAAAATAATATTTGTTTATACTTGGGGCTTAGGTACTTGATGATCTGAAATCCAAAATAATTATAATAACTTTATAGAATATCATTTGTTTTTCAAGCCAATAAGATCAGATGTTTTTTTTTGAGTCTGTCACTCCATTATCAAATATCGCACATCTTATAGCATGAAAGACCAGTGAATAAAATGTGCATTGACAATAGATGGAGATTGACAAAAATTCCAAGCAAACACCTCACAAATTGTGCTACAATTTCCTTCAAACCACCATACAGAAATTTTCTATAGATCACCAAGAACAAGAAAAGCTAGGCTTGAGGTAACAACAAGGCACATTGCTGAAAAAGACATGAAGTGAATAGACCATATAAATGTGGGAAAATGTAAAAGAAACATAAAATATGTTTCAGTCTGAGAGAGATGAAGATTTCGCTTGTGCATCAGGTCTTTTTCGAAGTGAAACTCGCCGGAATGGAAGGCAGGAGAATAGTTTGGATCGGGTAGGCTGCTTGACCATTTCTGGCTCGGGGACTTCAGGGATAAGAGCAGTGGAATCCAGGGATTTAGCCAGTTTTTCTCTGCGGAGTGTCTTCTGCTTTTTCAAACGCGGTTCTTTCTTCTGAGTGTCATCAGAATTGTGTCTTGATCGGTATTTTCTGGGAATGGAGCGTCCAAAATGTCATCTTCTTCTATGGTCCTGAGCGATGGTACGTATTTCCTTTGTCCAACATAAGAATTTTGTCTCTTTATATGATTTGCCGATACCAGGTGTGCGTATTCAGCATCCCAAGAACCCGCCGTCATCTGAGCAAGTCGGAACTCTATTGGACTTCCAGCACGCAAAGTTTGATGAATCCTGTTTGGAGGGCTCGCCCAAAAGGATCTCGGAGGACTGGCCTCAATGGATCTTGACGGACTCAAATGTGGGAAGCTTGGAGGGCTCGCATCAGGAAACGGGCGAGGAGACCTATAAGCGCGTATACCCAACACTTCTAAGAAACGTATGACATCACTCTTCGGACGAGTGATCACTTGATGAGTCACAATGACTTGAATCCACAAGACGGCAAGCAAGTGGAATTTCATCTTGTTTTTCTGTGGGTGCTTTCGTATTTTTCGAGACTTGAAATTGTTGGCCTGCTGATTTTGTGAGTTTCGAAGCAGCCGCTGATCAAGAGAGACAACTTTCGACCCCGATAACTAATGTCCCTTATGATTTTGTTTTTGCCTGTAGACCAAGATGGACGTTTTGACCGAAAACCCTAACAGGAACGCTGACAAAATAAATAATCAAGTAATCACATTAAGCTTCTTTTATGGGGAAAAATAGACCGGAGCACAAAGCTTACGAGCTCACAAAAGAAGACCTCAGCCGAAAGGCTGATCGACCTGATCAGAGTGAGCTGTGAAAAATGGAAAGCTGTAAAAAATTTATTTCTTTGTCAGGCGCGGAGACAGTCTGATTAGAATGATATCTGACACAACAGAAACGGCAAAAACAGGAAATCACAAGATTTACATGGGAATGATGATGGTGCGGATCGGCCAATGTGAGATTCAGGCAGACCTCTTCAATTCTTCTTGACGATTGCTTCGTATCTTGGAATGAAGACGAGAAGTACAAGCTGAAGTTGAATCTAAAAAAAAGGTGCACTTGACAATGCGGCAGGAGCGAGATCAAACACAAAAATTGCTACTGGATATTTCAGGAATGGTTTCATTAGGGTCTTTAAGGATGAAGATCGTATGTTGAGAAGGGTCTGTGAAACTCTAAGAGGTTAGAACCGGGGATTTGACAGCATATACACCTGCTTATGTCTCACCAATTCACTACTCGACGATCACAAAGCCCAACTGTGAAGAATCTGTCGGCCCCTATTCGTCATTGGCACACACCGTTCCATCGACTGCCTTTGGGGGAGAGTGTTGACTCATTGAGTTAGTTTGAGCTGGGCTCTGCTGGAGTGCATAACTCCGGATAATTCATTTCACCTGCGGATTTACAGCTTCCAAAAAGGGTTTGGATTCCTCGATGGCAAGGCCTCAAGTAAAATGGACAGTTGAACCGGAGTAGGTATCGTAAAAAAATCAGGAAGGGTGTCCAAACTTGAAAAACGAGGTATCAAGCTGATGAACGTGTTACTTTAGCCCATCAGGACTTCGACACAATAACCTTGAAACCATAAATTGCGAGTCTTTCGTATCATGAAGGGCCGTGAGGGGAAACCACGTGAGGTTATCTGAACCTTGCGCAGGCTCACAACCTACAACAGCGAAATTTAGAAGTTAAAACAGAAAAAAAAATGCGCCCAGCAGTTCCACTGCCAGAAAAGGATGACATTCTGGTTAAGGATTTTACATATCCCGCCAAACTTTACTGTTAAAGTTAATGCTGAATTTGATTCAAGTTGGAGCTGCAGCAAACCTAATGCTGAAAACCTCTGCAGTGCAATGACAGTCACACTGCACCACCCATAACCAAGTCACTAATCCTGATTCCTAGGGTTTCACCTTTGAGCAAAAGGGGAACCCATAAATCATATCAAACCAATTGTTCAGGGGTGGAAAGGACCCCCCCCCCAACATGCCTGGAATTCTGTCCATGAAGAAAGGTGGAAATGGCAGGGAAAAACATGTATCCAAGGCCAGTTATTGGTCACAAGTTGCTACTTTACATTTACAGTTTGATAGTATTTCTAACTTCAAAGGTAAAGTTTGGGTGCATCATGATCACCCTGGGTAAGGTGAATCCTCACCCAGAATCCTATCCTTTTCTGAAACTTATACCTTGAATACCTGGGGGTGTACATCAATACATACAGCTGAATCATTTAGATTTTTTTCTGTGATTCTGCAGCAGAGGATCATGTGCTTCTGCATCAACATTTCTTCAGAGTATGTGGCACTGCAGCAAAAATATCTCATTTTAGCTGCAGCAATATTTCCTCAAACACAAATCCTCTGCAACAATAATAGGCCATCCCACAATCCCCTCAGCATACATCCCTCACATCACAATGTACTAAGAGTATTCATATTCTCTGAGTCAAATCATCAAATTTTGGGAATTTAAACAATCTGGTGACCACATTGATGCCAGCTAGTTCTGGTTCAACTAATCAAAATCTTGATTTTGGGATTACTTCCTTTAATGATGGCCTTTTGCCATGAGAAAAAAAAGGAAGGGACAAGTGACACAGAAAATGTCTTGATGCAAAATAAACCGGATGAAAAAAAAAAGGTCAAAGTTCCCAAAAAAGGGGATAAGTAGCTACTAATTTGCATGACAGAAAAATGCTTACACTACATAAGGCTGTCTCCTTTAGTGACCTTGGGGAAATGAGCACAGAGAAAAGATGATCTTTATTTCTTTATCCAAGCATGACTTCAACAAGCTACTACAAAAATGGGGGCCAGATTGTGGGACAGAAAGTGGAATAATGCATATGAAAACTGGAGGGACAGAAAGGAGTGAGAGGGTGAAAGGTGTGACAGGGAAGAGAATGAGAAAAAGAGAGTGGGAGCTGAGAAAATTCCAGCAGTTCAATTTAGCAATCAATAACAATGGTTATGAAGATTTTGTACTGTGCTTCTCAGGTTGGGGAGCTAACTCAACCCAACCATTGATGTGGCTTCTCCCATCCACCAACCCAGGCTTAATCAACCTGAATATTTCACAAAAAAATCCAAATGCTGATGCTCTGAAGGAGGTATTGTTGAGTTTAAACTTGGACATTAAGTATTAATTCTTTTAATGTTCAGTTTTAATTCGCGTCATCCGCAGGTCTCAACTTTCAGTTTTCAACTTCATCGATCATTCGTCATCCCCTTCTTTCCCCTTCCTTCAACAATCCGCCGATCTCTTAATCGAATCAAAAATCATCCCAAGGTCAACAAAATCTCATTCGCTGATCAATCAAATCGAAAACCGATTTTTAATCATCGTTTACTTCAAGCACTCAGGAGGAGCTAGAATCAGCTGCTGGGCAGGTAGTTGTTTTGACTCGTTCTTTCTCACTTGTAATCAAAATATTGACCGTTTTTATTATTCATTTTCTCTAGGCTGTATTTGCTAAAACATTCCTGTGTGTTTCAAGAGTTGATGTTGGTATAAATCGTGTTAAGATTTTGTTATATTCTGATTTCATTTATCAGGTATTTATTAAATGTTATATTTCATTTATTGTCATTTGAGTATTCATTCTAACATTGTTTTTTATTCTTTAAGACTATTACTTCTATTGAGTTTTTTATTAATACTGTTTCAATAAAGCAATTGATTCTACCATTTTTACAGGTATTTGCCAAACTCCAACTTTCTCCAGGCAGGTAGTTACCCCCAAAGTAGTCCCTACCTCCAATCTTAACCAAGATTAATGTATTGATTGAGATCCACCAATTTCAGATAAATTTCTTGTCATAATCAAGGTCTTTACAAAATATTCTGACTTTTATTAGTAGTACACCAGGAAAAATACATGGCCACTAGATGAGAGGTGACATCAATCCAAGCTCAGCCAGAGAAACATTGGTATCATCCACCTGGTTGTGATTCTCTGCAGCCCCCCCCCCTGCAGATGAAAAAGGGAAATAAATCAGTCAGAAGAGCATGATTTTGCTAGTAGGTGTGCTATATTGAAATAACCAAAATAATGATGAAAGCCTTTTTTTCTTTATTTGTTTACCTCTTTCAGTCTTACTCGTCTTTTTCAAGGGGTGATTTAATTGAGAACAAGTACAGTAACTTTCCAGCTGGATCACTGCATAAGGATTAAAACTGAAACTATATGTAGTATTTTCTCATTGCCCCCCTAGAGGGAAGGTGGAGCATGAAGTGGGTGAGAATTGACTTTGTCAGATGTGTGAATTTTGATCAGAGTCCCGATTTTTAGTTGCCCCATTCATATAAGGGGGCCATGGGGTTCAGTTGTACCATATCTGAACTTTGGGGGCCTTGAAGTGATCATCCAACCCATCTGGAAACTGGGACCAAACATACTCAAAGTTCTCAGGAAGTTTTGTGAATCCACCCTGTGTGTTACTCTCACCAAAACATAAATAGAATCACACTGACACCACAGAAGGTCACCAACATAAGGCAGATATTCCCCCGAGTGGAGAGCTCAGCTTGGGAACTGACCAGACACCACTTTGCTTGCCTGCCCACAACACCTGTTGCAGCAGGAGACTTGTGTTGGGTTTGTTTGTACCCTCTCCTGCGCCTACTGGCAGACAAGGGTGTGTGAAGTTTGCTGTATGTACCCCAGCAAACACTGGCCCATACCCTCACCCAGTATACCCAGAATCTCCCACTTCAATACTGATTCCTGGGGTAAATCGCCCTTATTTTTCGAAGCGTTTGGTAAGACAATGAAAACTTTGTCTCAATGATCCAATTCTAGAGAAGATTACCAGTGGCCAAACTCACTGTCCATGAGGGATTGTTACTTTGGTGTTATATATATCACTATATCAAAAAGAAGGAAAGGAAAAGGCTAGACAGATGGTGCTAATGGATTTATAGAAAATAGTGATATCCGCATAATCTACACCAAAACATTTCCCATGATAGATATATCCAAAAAAAGAAATAAGAGAATAATAATTGGCCTTGCAAGTCAAAAAGAAGTAGAACAATACATACACATATCATTGAATCGCGAAACCAAAGAAAACCCAACAAAATGGAGGAAATCGAGACCAAGGGGACTGATTGGCCATTGAAAGAATCAGAGACCTAGGATAACAAGCAGATGGAAAGAAACGGATGAGAGGTTACCAAGATTCGATGCATGAACAAACTAATCAAACTCCCAAGACAAAAAAAAATCGAATGTATATATCTAGGATGAACGAGGAAACAGTGTCCATGAAGAGACAGATCCGGAATGACAAGCTCTGGTTGCAGAGAAAGAACGAAAACCGGACAACGAACAGGCTGTCAAAATGAGGGAGGGGTTGGTACTAGAGCGACGAATGGTCGTCTTCCTCGTCTTCTTCATCAGTCAATTCTTCGGCCAAGTTGAGCACTTGGTTCTCCCATCCGGCTCGTTTGGGCCAGTTCCAGCCATCGTTACTCGGCGGGATCTTGATCGGAAGCAAGACCGTGTACCATCGCCATCTCCCACCCTGTCCGATGTTGAAAAACTGCTCCAGATTCCTCCGCACGCCCAAGTCAAACGGGTTCATGTATTTCTATACAATCAAAGTTCAATCAATCCCGTTGTTCTGACCCTCGGCTCATATATTTGTATCATCGTCTTCTTACCTGGCCTCTTTGAGAAAACAGCTGATGATAATATTCTACAGTTTGGGTTTTCGATATCAGTCACTTCGTCCAGATAAGTTGGGGGAGAAAGAGGGGGGGGGGTGAAGAGGAATGGAGACTGACCATTATCACTAGATTCAACCGTCGTCTCCCCCTTTGCGATCAATAACAATTGCCAGCCGAACATAATCCCAATCGTCAGTCCGATTGCTAGGGCCAAGACCCACGTTAAGATGACAAAAACCCTAGGCGACCAAAATGGCCACTAAGAAAGGAAGAAAGTGATCCAGATGAAATCAGCCGATATTATCCAGTCTGAGACTTACACCTAACCCACCCGAAAATGATGATGCATAGATTAAAAAGAAGATGGAGTTTGTTTATTGTTTCAAATGAATCAACTAACACTTGTCGAGAAATCAACACTTTCAATGAACGATGTCCACCCCCAAAAGACCACCCAAGCGCAAGAAACGCTCATATAAAACCTATCCTTATTTTCAAGCTCTCTCAGATAGTCAGATCTCCACCCTTCTTAGCTTCTTTCTCCCTACTTTGATCTACCCAGAATTTTTTGCTTTCCGGCATCTTATATATTCTTGAAGATCAACCACAGAAAAATAAAAGATGAGATAGAAGAAAAAAAAAATGGATGGACTTACAAGAATAGTAGAAAGAATCTCTCATTTCGTAGTCCTACGCACTGATTGATCCCTTCTCATCAACAAAGGAATCCGGGAAATATTTAGTACTTATAATATACTTGATCGATCGTGAAAGTTGATTTATTTAATAATTAGAGAAAGGGTTGATGGCGCACAAGGACAACTAAAGTTGAGCCCCATAATGAAAAAAAGAACCAGGAAGATGTGTAAGTAAGAGAAAAATAATGATGATCTTGTGGGATTGAAGGGACTGAACTGATGATCGTATTTGAGTTGACACACCCCACAAACGCGACAATGATGAGCACGTTCGGGTTTAATAGGCCCACGACCGTCGATGCCCTTGATACCCAGTTTGAGACACTTGAGACAATGGCGATTGATATTCAAGCGATACTGTTCGATCATTTCCTGTTTGACGGGCCCGATCCTCTGTCCCTTCGGCAGCCAGCGACGAAGGCCTCGGGCACAGGAGGAACGGCCGAGTGAGAAGGACTTGTGGGGCTGGTTGATCGGCTCCGACGGCGAGCCCGGTGGCGTCGTGCATGCTAGATAGTAATGGATACTCGAACAACTCGCGAGATAGATGCTGAAGATTAGACTCAGTAAGGACATCAGTGGGTCCGATTCTGGTCGGAGGAAAGCCATGGGGAAGATGACATCGACTGTGTGATATATATTAATAGATATCAAGCCCAGAACAAAAAGAGTATAATACTTAGTGACACAACTCCGTATTCTTTTTTTTTTCTTCCCTCGTTATATTCATGTGAGGAAATTCGAAAGTGATCTACAAAAAAGGAATTGAGTGGACTTAACAGTAAGTGATGATGGCCATTGAGATCAATAGAACGGCGATCGCGATAAAGAATGGGCCGACTTTCCCAGTCAACCGATCTGCACAGCGCTCGATCCTCCAAAAACATTGAAAGACTTTATGAGCAATCGTCCGAATGACGCCCATCTATTTATCTAAAACCTCTGCAAAGATTCTCTTTGTTTATCTATTTTTAACCTATCAAACACACACCCAATAAGAAATAAAAAAAGAAATCAATTGATTTGAGAGACTGTTTTATAGAGGAGATACATATTAAGACAAAGCAAACTTGACTGACTTGTGTGATATGAATCTCGTCCTGGGTGTGGTGAGGTTCTCTCTGAGTGGTACTGCCACCCCATCCACTGAAACGGGTCTGCAAGTTTGCCGAGGGCTGTATTGTTGTATGTATGGATTTAGATATGGTTGAGGTACATGTTTTAGTTATGTGCATGAAGAGGGGCATGGAGTTAGACCGAGTCCGATTGGGTTTAATGAGTTTAAATGGTTTTGTCCATCGCGGTTTTCGACTGATCCGTCGATCACAATCGAGGATTACATATATCATCAACCTCATTTCGAATCTCGATGGTCAGACGAATGGTTAACGAGGAAACTTGGGATACGATCATCATCAGTCGATTCTTCTCTACTTGACGGCGACCAAAACGCACCCCGACGAAGGAACAGATCACGCTGTACATACCTCAGCTCAAAACTCGAATCAAAACATGATCCATGCCGTCTTAGTTTGTTGAGTAGGAGATTTGATTTGATTTATTTTTCAGTGGTGATATTCATACCCTGAACTGTTTATTTTTTTTGTAGTTAATAACGATGGTAAACCACGGCTATCGAAATTCTATTCCCAATCGAGCTCATCGCCAGCCTTGACCTCAAAGGAGAGAAGAACCAAGGAGGAATGCTGTTTGATCACCTCCTCTTCACCCTCGAATCTCAAGTACGAGTTCCTCAAGACGATCTATAATCTCACCAATCATCATCAGAATACCAAGTCATCCAATGCATCATCATCATCATCATCATCCAAGACGAATTTCATCAATCTAGACCAATCCGTTCTCTCACTCCTCAATAAGAATTTCTTCCACCACCAGAAACACCTCCTTCCAAATAACACGCGTCATCCATCTCCACCCAATTTGGACTTCTTTCAACTCCATCCAGATTACTTAAACTTGGAACTCTGCTTGGTTTATCGTAACTATGCTACCCTGTTCTTTGTCTTCTTAATCGATCAATCCGAGTCTCAATTAGGTATCTTGGATCTCATTCAAGTTAAGTTTTTTTTTTTTTCCCCTTGCTCATGAAGAAAAACAAAAAAGAAAAACTCAATCCTCAAGACATTTGTTGATTTTGAATTTGATGCATGTTCTCTTTAGAGTAGGTGTTTGTAGAATCATTAGACAAATGTTTTAAGAATGTATGTGAATTAGATCTCATCTTTAACTATGATAAGTTAGATCTATTGTTAAATCAGATCATCCTGGGTGGGATCGTCCTGGATACTTTCAGTTGAATCGATCATCTCTAACTTTCAATCTCAACTTAAGATCTTGAAACAATCTTCCTCAGTCTCTTCTTTCTCAACTTCACTCTAAATGTTCTTATTTCAATTTACAGAAGGAACAAGTCAACACTTTCCCACCTACATAGAATAGGTCTTTTCTATTATTGTTATGGGTGAACCAGAGTAAAGGGACTTTTTTGGGGGAAGGCTTGATGAATCTATCTTCAGGTATGTGAGAGATGCTACATACATGTGAGGCCAGGCCACTGGATTTTCAAGGAATAGGATGATCAGGAGTCTCGGGGGAAGCCAGAGCAGCAGTGTCCAGGGCTGGATCAGTTTTTCCTGGGCAAGTGAGTTGAGGGTTTCAAAGGCGATTTTAAGCTCCTCTTTCCAGTCAAGAGACACCACATGCTAGTCCAAGCAGTTTTAAGTTCCTCGGGACATCCGCCAGTTGATAGGGAGTAAATATTTTTAAACTGCGTCAGTGGTTCCGTTGATGATAAGGAGTACTACATAGTCTTTATCGCTCTTGGAGGTTGGCTTGCCAATCTGATGAGTTGGAAAGCTGACTTGCATAAATATTTACAGTGGGGATTGCTTACCAAGCCAAAAGCCACCAAACAATCCCCAACAGAAAACCAACCAAAAAATCCCAACCAACAACCAACAACAACGGCTACTACTACAACAACATGCCACGACCCACAGCCCAGAACCAACAGCCTACCATCGAACACGACCACGACGATGAAACGGATGACGATCGGGATGAGGCAGAGGCAGAGGCGATTGCCGATGCACTGCTGGGACGGAAGACTCAGACCAGACTCTCGATTGGCAATCACATCCACTCATCATCACCATCCAGGCTTAGCTGTCTGGAAGAAGGACAGGTACATGAGGAAGACGAAGGCCATCAACTTCAAAGCAGATCCATCCCAGAGAACTCATCAACCGGACCACAACCACCACCCTCATCACTACTCGATCGACTCGGGCCACCCTCCCAATCAGCCTCACTAACCTCATCTAGCTCACCACAGGATGATCGAGCCAGGAAAACCCATGTCCAAATCCCAGAGGAACCAAAACCACTGTCGAGGAACTCGAGAGCAGCACATAGGCAACAACAACAACAAGCTCACTCCCCCAAACGACCGCACCACTCACGCTCCAGATCTCCCAATCGTCAGCCACCCTTGTCGGCTACCGAACAGAGGCGGGCCTCACTCAGCTCTCGCATCACCCTCTCCAATCGACATCACTCCTGCTCACCCATCGCCCTCCAGTTCGACGTCCAATCCAGGTGCCAGCAGATCGCCCGTCGCTTCTCATCCCCCTCCAACTCAACCCCAACCAGAAAGGATGCCCGCGAACAGCGTGAAGGAGCACCTGCCCCATCTGCCCCACGCAACGAATCCAACAACCATCAACATCGCCCTCATCACCATCACTCATCATCCTCTCAATCTCACCACCAACACACCACCAACAACAACAACAACATTAACAACAACAACCCAGGTCCAAGCTCCAATAGTAAGGCCTCAAACTCGAACGCCATAGCACTCCCAACAAACAAGTCACCAACCCTGAAGAATCCAGCACTCAGAGTCTCGGTCCTAATCGAAAACTTGCCATCCTTTACAGTCCTAACTCCTAGGAGGCTCTACGACCATCTAGCCCATTTGGTACCTCCTAAGCACAGACAAGAGGCCACCCTTCCCTATGGACTCAAACTTTACAGATACGCTCGTTCGGATTGCGTCTGTGCCGAGCTCAGGTTTCATGCTCTTGTTGCCGCCCGTAACTTCGCTCACAAAGCTTCCCGGGCTTGGCCTTCGATCTGGTATACCGCCTCCAAGGCCCCTCCAGACACACGCAAGAAATTCATGGAATTCACCGTCCTCGAGGGAGATAAACCAGTCACTTGGCCTAGGTGAGTCAGATCTAGTCATTATCTAGATATCTATGACCTGCTCATTCATTCTCTCCCACCGCTACATAGTCGCTTCGAAACTTACTATCCTAAGCTCAAATCGGACCTGTGTAAGTCAATCCTTCTATGACCATCAACTCACTAGGACTGAATGTTTCGACTTAGTAGACCGGCCCAACACTCGAGCTGTCGAAGAAGAGCCCAGCACGGTGGAAACGGAAACCAGTCCAAGTGCTCCGCAAGCGCGACAGGCTCCCATCCCTGAATTCGGACGTCGGAGACCAGCATCGACCAATCCATCAACAGCACCTGCAGCGTCCAAGTTCCCCAAGCCCACAAACGCTTCGGCGTCAAAAGCTGGTAGTTGTAAGAACTTTCTGTGCCTTCATTTTGCGTTCTTCCGGTTTAGAGAACTACTTATCAATTGACCTTCCAATTCAGCAGATCGTCCCAAAGGTCGTCCTGCTGAAGAAGAACATGTTGCCCCAGTAAAGAAGAAAGCACGCCCGCCTGCCTTGCAAGCCCCATCCATAGAGGAATCTCACGAATTGATCAAGAATGAGATATCTATCCTACTCAGTCAATCATCAAGCTCAAAACCACCAAAGGACACTAAACTCACACCCTCTAATGAGCCTCCTCAAGATACCAAACCTCCGATGGCCAAGACCTCTGCCAAGGATGCAAATCCACCACTCACCCATCAACCTGCCAATGGTCAACTCTTCAAAACTTGCGGTAAGTCAATCGATCAACTCTTACAAGAAGCCAATGTCCAAGGGTACTCACAAAAAACACAATTTTTCCAGACGATTCTCCAGCGGGTCCAGTGCCTGCGTCAACTCAGTCAGATGAACATCAACCACCATTCACCTCGGTTATCAATGTACCAATAGCACCCCCAGCGTCGGGCTTGAAAATACCAGGTCTGAATGGAAGAGCAGGACAGCAAGAAAACCCATCGCCAGCGTTGACCTTGCAATCTGCGAGCTCGAAGAGTCCCGAGTCTGCGGACACGAAATTCCCTAATCCTCTGTTCACCATGGAGAGCATCCCGAAAGACCCGAAGGATCAAATGAATGGGGTCTTATTGAGCAAGATGCTCCCCTCGATCACCCTCTCAGTCCTCCAGAGTCACTTCTTAATCCCCAATCGACCACGCGATTTCAGGATCTTCGAGCCCATTCAAATCTCTTATGGTCCCTTCTTCTCCCCTCATCCAGTCGATCAGATGATCTCCTCCAGCTCTTCTTCTTCTTCGTCCAACAACCACAATCCCTTCAATCATCAACTCGAGATCGGCTGTCTGATCTCCTTTAGTGATCCGAATACTGCTGCTCACTTTTGTAGGGTCTTGGAACTCAATTCTCCCTTTCATCCTTTACAGGTTCGCGTGGTCGACCCTGCGGTGCGTTTTTAATTTTTCAACTTTCTTTCTTCTTTCGTGGGATCGTCTTGTCATCTCTCTCCTTCCTCTTTCGATTCCTCTGCATCGAATCTCGAAAATCAGTGGGCTGTATCCCCCTCCCCTCCCCCACCTCCTCTTTCTCGGTCAAATTACTCCCTTGGAAGCTGTTAATCTGTTCTTTATTTTTCCCAATATCCAGCACATTCAATTCCTCCCGTAAGCACGTTTTTCCTCAACAAGGTCATCTTGTATAAACAGAGTCTGAGAATTCTTGGGTTACATTTAACCATCCTAGCTCGGCATCAACGATCAGTAATCCACCGAAACAGCAGCAAGGATATATGGACCCAAGCGGGACCTTCTATGGCTCGACGAGTGGTTTCTACGGGAACGGGGGGTATCTGGATGTGCAGAACCAATACAATTGGTCGACGGTCCCACGTGAGATGATCCAGTCGGGCAGTCCGTTAGGGATCGGGCCGACGAGCCAGCTGGCCGAGTCACGTCCGTCGAGTCTGCCGATCCACCCACACCAACATGCCGAGATGGTCTATAATAACAGCCCCTACGGCTATCTGAACGACTACAACAATCACCTGCTCGGCCATCATATGTCCCCACATCCCACCCCCTCTCCTCTCTCCTTCGGCCCCTCACTCTCCTACAACAACCACTCTCCTTTCTCGATCACCAATCATCCCCCCGCCGTCTCCGACCCTTCGCAAGACCTCTCTTCCCTCCTCTCTTCCTCCTCTTCAACCTCTCAGAATTTCGTCAACCATCAACTCCCGCCTATCCCTCCCCCGCAATCCCAGGCTACTAATAACCTTCATCCTCCCTCCTCTCGAATCTCTCAAGACTTCTCTCATCATCCTTTACCACCTCTTCCTCTCTTTACCCCTCAACGATCTCCTCCTCCTCCTACCCTACCACCACCAACGACGACGACAACAACAACAACCACAGCAACGGCGGCGACGACGACGACGACTGCAACTGCTTCTACTTCTAATTCTTCACACGATATCCAGCTTTCTAATGCTCAACAACCTCCTTCGGCTTCCACTTCAGTTGACTCACTTGAAATCCTTACCTTCTTACCCAATCCTTCTTCTTTCGATCATACTAATTTCAATTCGAATTCGAATTCGGTCAATTCGGGTTCTAATTCGAATTCGAATCCTTACTTTTATTCGAATTCGATGGCTAGCTCTCAATCGATTTCTCATTCAAACTTCAATCCTAATCCCAATCCGGATTCGAATTCCAGTTCCAATCTGAATACCGATTCACACTCGAATTCGAACTCGAATCCGGATCTGAATCCCAATGACCATGCCAACTCTAATCCGATTACCTCAACCATATCGGCTACTACTTTACCTTCATCGACTTCGGATCCTGCTGCGGCTTCTGATCCTTCTTCGACTTCTGATCCTAATTCGCAACTTCAACGGCTGGAACGGCTCAAGAAAATCTTGCAGGCTAGGAAAACTGGTGTTCATTAATCCTCTCTCTCTCTCTTTCTCTTCTTCTTTCTTCTTTTTTGTTTCTTTTTTTTGGTTTTCTTGGTTCTTCTCTTTTTTAAAAAAATATAAAAAAATAACATAAAAAAACATAAAACACCAATATGAAAAAAATGAAAAGAAAAAAAAAATGAAAAAAATGAAAAAATGAAAAAAATAGAATATCAATAATAAGTAACCTTTCTCTTTTTATTTGTTTGTGGTGGTTGTAACTTTGAGATTGTTTTCATTCTTCTTCCATTATCAATAGTCACAGGTTGAGAAGGCAGGGAAGAGACCAAGAGTAAGAGTTTTGTTTTTTGTTTCTCCTGTATTGATGACGATGGATCAATGTTTTTTGTTTTCCCTTTTTCTTTGGCCTTGATGCTTTCATTTTTTTTTTGTTCTTTTCCTTCTATGTTTAATTTTTTTATTGTATGTGAGTGATAATGATGATGATCAAAACATAACCTAAAAAGGTATATAAATACATATACAGTATCTCTTTATCTAATTATCATATATCTGTCTTGTTTTTTTCTCTCTCTGCTTGTCAATGATCATTTTTGTAACCATCTAGTTATTCTTAATTCTGGCTTGACTTTCACCTAATTCTAACCCATTCTTCTTTCCTTTTTTCCTCTTTATATAACCACTTTCTTTCTTTCTTTTTTTTTCTTTTCTCATTGTCAATTTATCACTTTTTTCTCTCACCCAGGTTTCCAATTGTTCTTGATTATTTAGCTTTATATATACAAAAAAAAGAGAATGAATGAATGAATTGTATCTCTTGTGTTAAAGAAAGTGTCTGTGTTTCTTCTTTTTTGTCTTGAATGAAATTTGTATGAAAGAAATTAAAATTACAGTCAAAATATGATGCAAAGTGTATCAAGACTAGAGGGCCTTATATAATGCTTGAACACTGTTGAGATGCTACATCAGGCTGACCAGAGATCAGGCCCGGCTCCATTTCCATTCGATGATGTATGATAGTGATGTTGATGACATTATAATTTTTTTTTCCAACAGACTCCAATAGATGTTCATCATCCATCGACCACAGAAGATTTGATCAAAGTAATCATCCATCACGATCCCAAGTGAAGTTTGCCAAATGTCTTCCCCACTGAATCCTTTTGGAATATGCATATAAGGACCTCTACAATCATGCAATTATATATGGGTTGCCAGCACAGTCCAAACAAATGGGAGAAGAAAGTCTCATCAGAGAAGACCAGTCACTGTCGGCAAAAAAAAAGTCAACATTTCAGCAGCAGGCTGTCCCCGATAATCACTTCTGCACCGCACTCCATCAATGTCCCTGGCAGCGATGTTTGGGCAGATTGATGCGGCTATCCTTCAAGCTCAAACACGGCCTGTCGACACTGTGATTAGCTAGTAGGGTTTGTTTAGCCTTTACCATTGGGGCCACGTCGGCGCGCTGCCCTTTAGTCAGCGGGTCTGATTACCAGGGTGATTGTGGATATCTTGGAAGGTACATGTTGATTCTGCCAGGTCTGGCCAGGTCTTGGAGGCTGGGATTCGGCCAGCTTCCGATCAAGGGCTCTTCGGCAGAACAGTGCTCATAAAGAGGCTTGCCGTTGATCATTAGATTCTGTCTTCCAGACTAATCAGAGCATTTGTCCGCCCAGACTCCCGATGTGTCGCCGGATAGTAATCACCCTGGAGACATCCCAAACTCAACAAAGTCCCTCTGCATTTAATGGAGCGGGAACACCGCCGTCCCACCTGCGCAACGCGACCAGTCTTCTCCTCTTTGAGTAAAGGGGGATAACGCACCCAACTTTATTGATCAAGAGCCGCTTTTAGTGCTTCTATGATCTAGAGTATCGGGGGCTTTTGATTTTCTGGGGTCCTGTCCAGAATTGGTTTGTACACACATTTCTCGAGCATTTGGAATGTGAGCCTGAAAAGGGTTGAACGTCCTGAGTGAAAACTGGTCTGCATAGCTGGTAGCTACCATCGAACCCTCTACGAGTTCGTAATGTGGATGATTTCTCCAACTCCGCCGTTGGAACTACCATAAATCCGGACAAGTTTCCCCTGTCACTGAAAAATCAAAAATCCTTCATCCAGCAGGAATCCTATCACCCAACAACAGATTGTCACGATTGAAAAAGCTCAGCCGAATCAAGATGCAATTATCTAACCGTAACATTTTCCAGATCGTACTAGCGCTCCTCATCCAGCGCGAAGCTTCGTTGGTCCAAGGCTTTGGATGTCAGGGCAATGTTCCGAATTTTCCTTACTCGGGTTGTGCCACCAACTTTGAAAACTTAAACACCAAGATTGATCGTAAGTCATTCTCTTGTGCTCCAAATGGATGCTCGTGGGGGCACGATTCAGCCGCCAGTCCAGCTGGAAAGTTAACTCGATGATTTGTTGTTATGTGTCGTCGACGCGACCCTCTAGTTATGATCGCACCTTGGAACACCCGGACGAGCACTTATGACTGCACAAATGCACCCACTGGACATCTCACCCCAACATGCTGCACTTTTTCCACCGTAAATCGTCCTATTATTATGACTTACTTTGACTTCCATCCACACCAATGTTACATTGATTCTATGATTTTATGTAGGATTTGCCATCGACCTTAACGCCAAAGTTATGGACACGCAACTGCAGGAACATCGATGGCTCGAGGATCCGTTTGTAGGGCTTCTGCACCCGAGATATCAAGTGCTCTTCTTGCAATGCAGAGCATGCATTCTTCCACTGCCGACAAGCAATGTTGTATATGAACTATGTAAAACACCAACAGGACACCAGCCATTTTAAGTACATACTACTAGTATATGCCCCCAAATTTGGGGAGGCAGCTTGTGTTTGCCCCGGATGTTGGGGGTTTTACTCAATGACCTTTGGGGTTTTCTTGAGTTGGACACCTGTCTGCCTCGATCTAACGCCGGCGTCGACAAATCTAACAAATGTGAATTGGAGGTCGACGCCGGCGTTAGAAATGAACTGGGTTTGTTTGGCCCTCTGAGGCCATTTTTTTAGGCCCCGTTTGGCCGTCCCGTGATTTGTGATTTGTGCGACCCCCGCGATAAAAGTTTGATACCCGAAAAAAATTGTAATTTGGGTGAATAATTCAAAATAACAAATCACAAATATACTGTTTGGCACGTCCCCTGCCAAAACAGCTCTCCAATTCCCCATCCTCCAAACGTATCCTCAGGACCTCGATCGATTTGCCATCAACTCAATCAAAATGAATCAGTCCATCGAAGCTAGCCGAAGCATTGCCCTAAGGAATCAACATCGTGTGATCCAAAAAAGACGGTTCCTTCTTTTGATCATTGCTGTGGCCGGGCTCCGTCAATGGGCAAGAACTCTCTTCAAGGAATCCTATAACGACCTCTTCTTTGGTGGTGACGCATACGTGAAGCACATGCTCAGCGGGAATGATCGCCGGGCTCAGGCAATGTTTCGTTTGTCTATCGATGTCTTTCACGAGTGCTCCGAAGAGCTGGAAGCCATTGATCACGATCCAGCAACCAAACTCTTGTCAATGGATGAACAGCTGGCCATTTTTCTCTACATAGTCGGCCAGAATGCATCAAACCGCCAAGCTCAAGATCGATTCCAACATAGCGGTGAAACGATCTCCAAAGTCTTTCATCATGTGATCAACTTGATCCTTCAGCTCCGGAACAAGTACATCGTCTCCCCTGATCCCAAATACACTCATGAGGTCATCCTCGACAACCCCAAGTTCTCGCCGTTCTTCAATCGCTGTCTTGGGGCAATGGATGGCTGCCACGTACCCGCTTCCGTTCCTGAACACCTAGCGGGGCCATATCGTACACGAAAGGGGACTCTGGCGCAGAACGTTCTGGGTGTTGTGGACTTTGATATGAGGTTTACTTACCTCATGGTTGGCTGGGAAGGCTCGGCTCATGATTCCAAGGTACTTGGCAGTGCCCTCACGGAGGACTTCAGCATTCCTCGACGATCATTCTACTTGGCCGATGCTGGTTATGCACTCACCAGGGGGACCTTAGTCCCATACCGGGGAGTAAGATATCATTTGCGCGAAAACGCACAAGCTGGGCAAAGGTGAGCGCAACTTTGCTATGTGTACAACCTCACTGCCCTCCAGCAGGGATTGATCATTGTGGATTGTGCTACTAGGCCCGAGACCAAGGAAGAACTGTTTAACCTCCGACATGCGATGATGCGTAATGTAGTTGAACGCACTTTTGGGACCTGGAAGAAACGCTTCCCCATTCTGGTGCATCCCTTACCATACGGCTTGAAAACTCAGCGCAATCTTGTTCTGGCACTGGCCGTATTACACAACATGATTATAGATCATACATCTGACCCAGAGGCCTTCGTTATTGATCCCGATGAGCTGTTCATGACGAGTGGCGAAGACGATCTCCCCCCTGAAGATGATGAAGAACCAACACTTCCACAGGTTCGCGAGAGGGCTCGGAATAACACTTGGAGGGATGGTATTGCTCAAAACATGTGGGATCAATATCAAGCGTACCTTCGCTCCAAGGGCGCTATGTAGTTTCCTTTCGTCAGGGTTGTTCATTGTGCTGGTTGTCTTTATCAGTAGAATATATGTCATTGGAAAGTTTTCTTTATTCTCGTTGATAGATAATGAGCAAGAGTAACATTGTTGAGACAGTTCATTGAGACAGTGAGTTTCATCATGAGCAAGAGTAACATCATTGAGAGAGTTCATTGAGACCAAGTGTTTTATCAGTATTTTCAAAATGGGAGGGCACATTCATTGGTTGGGTGTAATGAAGACACTTCAGACATCTGGATACTAGCAGGATACGACAAGTTGTTGTACGACATAGGACACAAGCTGGCAATCAGGCAGGATATGACTAATACAAGTGGTTGTACGTGTACGTCTAAGCATTGTGGGTCATATGGTGCAGCTCGATCTGATGAACAATCCAAGCGCGGGCGTGATTCTCGTCGCGGATTGCCAAAAAGGTTTGAGCCTTACACTCAACCTCAAGGATGCTGAAGCCGGCCACCAAGTCGTCCAAGGGGAGACCTTCAGCGAAGCTGTCTTGAAATTTTGAGATCGCTCGCTCCACCCTAGTAGCCACCGCCATAGATGCTGGAGCTGGATCGGATGTCGCAGTAAAGGCATCGATTAATCGCTCGATTGAGTTCTCGAATCGATCACCCGAAGTGACTCGATGCCTACGGCGCGGTCGTACCCCAGGTCTGAGGTTGGTCCCGGACGGGTCGGCCTCTTCATTGCTGCTAGGATCATTGTGGCCAATGGGGCCCCTGTTTCCCCCAGCTTCTTCATTCCCAGGATTTCCCTCACCATCGAGACCCCTACGCAACACACCTGTGGCAGCATGACCCCCAAAGATGATGAATAGTTCATGGAACTCGGGGAATGGTGCGTTTTTGAATCGTCTTGCTGCAGGGTGAGACTATCAATCAGGTTGAATCAGGGTGTAATCTTCCATCAGTTGAAGACCATAACAGAAGGCATAGGGATAGATCATCGGATAGTGAAGAGTTACTTACCACTAAGAATGGCTCCCAGACTTCATCCGAGGCCGTAACCATGTTGTGTTCATCATTCCACCCAAAGCCGCTTGCATCTTTACAAGCAAGGAAAGCGTCATACCATTTCTTGAAGGTCTATTAAGACAAAAAAGGTCATTATTTTGTAAGAAGATGAACAACAATCATAAATGACGTACCTGATTGAATTTGGATATAACTTTTTCCCCAGTGAAGGGAATACCCGGGTATTCGGCAGATAACTCTGAGGCAACCCAACGATGAACTTCGATCTTGAAACCAGAGTCGGATCGCTTCCCCATTTGGACTGCCCTGACGTACAAGTCAAGGGCACTCTTTTCCATGGCTTGAGTCCAGATCACCTTTCCAGGGCCGTTGCCTTCTTCTACATCTGGGAAGCTGCCATCAGATACCTGAGCCAAGGGTCTGGCTACTTGAGTGCCCAGGTTGGGGGTAGGAGATTGTTGGGTTGACGCGGTCCCTTGCGAATTTGTGGTTCTTTGAGTCGCCGATGGGGAAGTCGTTTGAGTCGCCGATGGGGAAGTCGTTTGAGTCGCCGATGGGGTTTCGGGTTGGGAGGGTCTTCCTCTTCGTCCGCGAGCCATTAATCTTCGGATGTGTGGTGTGATAGTTGTGGTTTGTAGTGGTAGTGGGGAGTGATGAAGACTTGATATCAAATCACAGATGATATCCGTGATTTCCTCTAATAATCGTGTATGGCCACACCAAACACAGAAATTGTGATTTGTGATGTCCGATCGGCCCCCCGGGGGAAATCCCCTATGACAGATGATGAATTACGGGACGGCCAAACGAAGCCTTAGTTATATGTAGATGTGACATACCAACAAGAAATAAGACATTTTGTGCTGTATTCTGCAGTACTAGAACCCATCAAATTGCAATGCAACCAAACTCCTGCAAAACTGTTTGTTGAGGGCATTGGGTGAAACTAGCACCCCTAGTCAGCAACACACAACCAGTGTTCTACTCACCCAGAAGTAGGAGATGTGACGATACGGACTGAAGGGGGTTACTGCGGCAAGGCAGGTAGTCATGGGTGGAAGAAGGGTCAAACCTAATCTATCATCAGATTAGGTTTGAGCACGTTGTATTTAGCTTTAGCCGTTGTACAGCAGTTCCCAGAAAGCTTGCGTTCGCGAGCCCCTGGGAACCGATTTTTTTTTTTTTTGCCTTGCATGACATACAGGCCTGTATGGGTCTGTACATCCGAATATTGGAAGATTGAGAAAAAATTTTCAGCCGACGGCCACGGCCAGCCGGCGGCCCACCAGATTCCCCATCCAGCCAGCCAGAAACCCCATCCACCCACCTTAATCCGCATTTTCACCTCCAAATCCGGCGGAAATTCTGATTGCATAGGAATCTCAGGTGAGTTCCCGACATTTTTGGTTGATATGTAGGTGGTATATTCAACTAACACTGGAATCATGTGTCAGTGAGCCAGTCATGGCTTACAACACAAATCAGGTCGGTCATGGATAACCAATCTCAGGAGTCTTGGCTAGGGCCCTCCCAGGCGACTTCACAGCCGTTCACCCCAGCTGTTTTTTGATTCAACAGTCAAGGAGGGGCTGCTCAGAGTGGGTATCACCATTTGACCAATACACAAGTTTCCGCGACCGGTCAAACCCAAATCGGCGGGGATCAAGCCGGATTCTCTCAGTCTCAAATTCCTGTCGGGCAATCACTCGGTCAGCATTATTCGGGCCAACAGCAACAGTCGCTAGCCGAAACTCAGGAGAACCAACAAACCTTGTTGCCTGCCCCGGAGGGCCGCCTGGTTGTCGTCGATTACATCCTGTTTATCGAATCGGCTGACACTGAAATTGCTCAAAATATTGGTGGTTGACGGGGCCTGGCAGTTCCGGTGAAGAAGCAGTGGGATAAAATGGTCCCCACCGGCGCGAGCTTGGCGTCCTGGCGCACCAATGTCGGTTCTCACAGTTGGGAGGAATTCAAGCGACAAATCGTCTACCTGCTCAGTACCCCCTGTCCGTTATTTGCGCAAATGTTAGCCTGCGAGTTGGAGAAGAACACGATCAAATGGCAACTCATTCTTTCCGGTAGTAGGGTCTTTGGTCCAAAGAAGAATTACTTTGCGACGGGCGATCAGGACTTATATGAGTTTGCGGGTGCCATTCAGGATAATCCGAAAGCCGCGGTCACGGTTAAGCTAGTGATGGATGATCCCCAGGCGAAAGCAAAACAGTCCGCCGCGGTGAGTGATCCAATGTTGTCATTTTTGTTAATTTGTTCGGGATGTTTAAATCTCACCCTCAAAACATCTTGGCAGGCCAAAAACACCCAAGATAGCCTGACACTGAAGTTTGGGAACAAAGCCGACCGAACGGCTTTGGAACTCCAACGGGCTAGGCTGATGTTAAACGTAAGCCACTTGCCTTCTGTTCAGATGTCATCAAGCTGACGAGGTGACCTCGCTTGTTTGTCTTGCTCAACAGCCAAAGGCCGACACATCTTCTAATCCTTTGACACCGGTCCTGGCCAAATTGATGGCACACATCAAGGGCAAGTACGGCCTGAACGAGGAGCAGTTGTGGATTGGCAATCCCAACAATGAGGAAGAGGGGATGCAAATCTTCAACAACCGACTCACAGCTTGGGCCCGCGCGCTGCAGCATGGGAAGAATGCCGCCATCACTCTTGATCATCCGCCTGAGACTGAAGAGTTCAAGTGGATCAAACGCCGAGTGCCAACACTCGACAGCTTGTCAGCGCCAATAGCCTCTCCCAAAAAACGACGGTCGACCTCTGGGGCTGCAAACACCGGGGCTGGTTGTGGAGTGGGTGGCTCTCACGTGGTCACGCCAGCGGCTTCGGCTGACTCTACTCCCGACTTACCAACCACCTTGCCAATTGAAGAGGAGGATCCTATGTTTCCTGTGGATTACGAGTCGGAGGTTGAGGTTGTCTGGGAGGCTCCCAACCTTGGGGGCATGCCAGCAGACTCACCGGGCGGCGGGACTCGCTATGGCTCGCCAGCTCGCAAGTATATACGGAGCCCAACGGGCGATGTCATGGGATCGGCAATGAGTCAGCTCTCATTCATGCGCACAAGATCCAGCAGTCGTCGGTCTCCACCAATCTCACCAGCTCGGAAACAGACGAGTTCGAGTGTTCGATCCTCGGCCACGGGTTCCGTGGTTCTTTCCAACTCATCTCGCCCACCTATGTCGGTATTGAGGGCTTTGCCTGTGCCCATCCCTGCCGGAGATGCAAATGCGAATACTAGTGCGGACAACGCCTCTAACACTGGGCCCGACGTGGTTGTCCCAAACCAGCCAAACGCCGCCGGTCGAGCCATGAACATGGAGCAGTTCCTCACTCACTGCAACTTTCAACCAACTGACATGGTCCCCAGAGGCCTCATCCAACTCAATCACATTGCCCATTGGAGCACCTTCCTAACCATGACCGCCCGCGACCTTACTCTGATGAGCTTCCCGGAAGCGACCGCTCGCCAAATCATCTATGGTACCACCAGCCTCCGGTCCGATTTACTAGAGTCTTAATGCAAACTCGGACTCATGTTCGGCTTTTTTGACAGTTATCCTCTTATGCATCTCACATTTCCTTCTCCCCCAAGGGTTCAACCTCTCTAGTTGTAGAGCTACGATGCTCATTTCTCCTTTTCCACCATTTTATGTCCCTCTTCAATTATATCAGTGCATGTCAAGGGTCCCGCCTCTCTAGTTGTAGTCAAAACTAAGCCTCCTCACTCCGAAGTAGCCATATGAATGGACATTGTTCCTTGTGGGGGCGAGTCTGCTTGGCAATGAAAAACCCGGCGTCCTATGCATCATTTTGACCCAAACATCCCCCAGAACAACCGCACGGTGTGTTAACCACAGATCCAGTCGGTTGCTCGGTCTTGCCTTCATCAGATCACAATTGATAAGATCTCCTCCTGAGCCCACACACAATCTCCTCCTGAGTCCACACACACAACCAATTCTCTTGAAGCCAGGCACTAGACCCCGATGAGGGACCCTCAGGGTGAACTCGGACTTGTACAGAATCACTGCAAGGGCCAAATTTTCGGGGTTTTATTTTGACAAGAGATTTGTGTTGATCTCTTCACTCCCTGCTCAAGTGTCCACAGATTGCCTCTCACTTAATCATCTCACACTCAAATGTAAAGATTCAAGTCAGATTCATTTGCACTCGGTGGCGCATAACTCAGATGGAAAGATTCAGGTAAGATTCATTCACAGTCGGTGGTGCATAAGTTGTATATATATAAAATCACATAGAAAAACAGAGTGAAAACACATCCAGCCAGTCAAGGCCCATTAAAAATCAGGCAGCATAGTTTGACCCGCGGAATAAGCTGGCCATCAGCTCTGGGGTAACTATCTCAGGTAGCACATCTTTGATGATATCGATGTCCTTGACCGTTCCAGTGAGGATTTGACGACGCTTAAGCTGGGACTTCAGGACCGAGAACACCTTCTCAATAGGGTTCATATCCGGAGAATAAGGCGGCAGGTAGACAAGTAAGACCCCTCGGTCCTCGCATAGCCGTGCGACACCACCACCGTGGTGCAATGATGCGTTGTCCAACACGAGAACACTGTTTCTGTCAGGGAATGGGTTCATGTTTGGGAGCTCGATAAAAGAATTTGACTGAATCAGCCCCCTACATGCATCATCCACAGATGAGTCAGCAATAAACAACTTACAAGGAACTCCTCAAGGAAGTATTCAAGATCCAGCCGGTACATAGTACCTTCCTGTGCGATCACCGCAAGCAAACCATCCAAGGATACCGCGGGAAGGACACTGATCCGGCTGGCAGTAATAGGCCTGGGAAGCCTGACGGTTCGGCGACCCTTCAGAGCGTACGCATGATCACGAGAGTGAGTTTTGATCGAGACACCAGTTTCATCTACCAATCACCAATCAAATGTGACATCAGCCACACCCCCACCAATTGCCTGAGATATATGTGGTACGTACCGAGGAACACCAAATGGTTGGAGGGTATAAACCCAATTTGACTGACAAACGCCGCCCGACGCAATGCACACTGTGCCGGGTGGACAGTCCGAGCCTTTTTGCATGTGAGGCGAAGTCGATATTTGATCTCATTGTGGATCGTTGCGATTGGGTGTCGCTCTCCGGTCATTGCATCGATGTGGGCTCGGATCTCATCGAGGTAAAGGGTCGGTTCTAAATCTAAGGCATCCATGATGAATTGAGACTCATCACGTGAAACCCTGATTGGGCGGCCTCGTCGTTGGTAGAATGCTGGGTTCCGGATCACACTTCTTGTGCGTTCATATAGCTGATTCCATCTTCTAATCGAATCGGCCGATATCTTCAGATCCAGTGTCTCATTAATCTCCTGCCGGGTCTCACCTCGTAGACTCATCTTGACCACAATGATCTTCACACCCCGACCATAATCAACAAAAGGCATTGTCAAAGGCCTACATAGCCATTGAATAAGCAGAACGCATTAGTCTCAGTCAGAACAAACGTGGAGGGTAGATTGTGAGGAGAATGTGCTTGCCTTGTGCAAAGATTACTGGCCTGATCAATGCAATATTGGGTCGGCGGAAGCGAATGTGGGTGGGCGGATGGGGTTTCTGGCTGGCTGGATGGGGAATCTGGTGGGCCGCCGGCTGGCCGTGGCCGTCGGCTGAAAATTTTTTCTCAATCTTCCGATATTCGGATGTACAGACCCATACAGGCCTGTATGTCATGCAAGGCAAAAAAAAAAGTGGCACAAAAAAAAAAAAATCGGTTCCCAGGGGCTCGCGAACGCAAGCTTTCTGGGAACTGCTGTACACGTTGTAAGACTCAAAAGTGGTTGTGAAACCCTTTTGCTGAATGGAGAAGGGGATGATGGAGTTGCAAGCTCTGCCCTTCTATGCTATCAGAACAACAAGACCACCAAGCTCAGCTTGGCAGTTTATATATCGTGATAGAGGATAGTTCGAGATGAAGCTGTCGAATGATACGTATAACGGTTGAAGGTGTTGATGATTGTCGTTGATGAAGTTGTTGATAGAGGTGTCGATGATAAGTGTTAAGAGTGAGGCTTGAACGCGCAACCTCGAGGTTGATGGTATATAAATTTTATGCTTTGACCAGGAATTGAACAGAGGACCAGGCACAGGTGGAGGTAAGTTGGAGTTAAGGTGGAGTTAAGATGGAGTTGAAGTGGAGTTAAAGTGGATGTCTTGAATGGGAATTGAACCCAGGTCCTTGCGGTTGGGGTGTATAAGCCAAAAAGCAGTGGATTTCAGGCAAAGGTGAGATAGCTTAGTGGTTATGAAAAAAGTAATGTTGATATTTCTACACTATAAACTGTCATAATATATATAAGGGGGGTTATAATTGTAAAACCTCAATACTAGGTAGCTGATAATATTGAAGAGTGACCAGTGATGTAGTGTTATGGGGGGGACTGACTACAGAGCATCTGATGAGGAGGGAATACAACTGGCAGGCAGAGGCCTCCTTATATAGACAAAAGTGAGGGAATTTAGCTCCAGGGTACATGCAGGTGAGGGAATTTAGCTGGCCTGAAAATCCAATGAGGGAATTTAGCTAGTCTAGTACATGCAGGTGAGGGAATTTGGCTGGTGAGAGCACAGCCTTGAGGGATTTTAGCTAGCCTACAAGATCCTACTACAAAGGAATGCATGTGCACCTACAAAGGAATTCAATATGGAATATGAGCTAATAAAGGAATTCAATATGAAAAAAGGAACTCAATATCCAATATGCATCCAGTATTCAAAATGAGCTATAGTCAGAGTAAAGAATCCAAGAGACATCCTGTGATAGGTTGAAATCTGTGTAACTTCTAAACTATGAGAGATATGGGGGTAGTTGTAGTGGGTGACTAGGGGTTATTTTACCTCAGGAATCCATTTTTGATGTTGATTTTACCTTATATCTCATGTAGAAAAAGATGAGAATAAATTTTTACATTTTTAGCGTAGAAACACAGGAATAACTACCACAACGTCTCTTGTCTCTTCTTTTCTCTTTTCTTCACTCATCTTCTTTTCTTCTCATTCGCACCACAATAGGTGCTTAGTCGTCTCCTTCTCTTCCTTCCCTCATTGTCTCCTTCTCTTCCTTCCCTCATTGTCTCCTTCTCTTCCTTCCCTCATCATCTCCTTCTCTTCCTTCCCTCATCGTCTCCTTCTCTTCCTTCCCTCATCGTCTCCTTCTCTTCCTTCCCTCATCGTCTCCTTCTCTTCCTTCCCTCATTGTCTCACTCTTGTTGGTCCTCAAGCGACCTCCTTAGCTCACCGCTGCTCTCTGGCATTTCTCAGGTGCTTAGTTGTCTCCTTCTCTTCCTTCCCTCATTGTCTCACTCTTGTTGGTCCTCAAGCGACCTCCTTAGCTCACCGCTGCTCTCTGGAATTTATCAGGTTATGAGCCCAGCAGTGTAACCGAGCTCACGAGGAAAAGCTTTCCCTTAACTCATTCATTACCAATCGTGGCATCAAACAATTCCGACCACTCTCAACCGGAGGAACAATCCACCTCCACCCCTCTCGCCTCCGGCTCCTCCTCTTTCAAATCCACAACATCTGAGACCGACACTCAAATTCAGCAGCTACTCACCCCTGCCATCAAAACCATTCAACTTCCATCCAACATGAACAATCACCTTGACATTGCTTGTCAGCCACAGAGTACATGTCACAGTACCTTTCATGTACCAAGTAACTGCAACACCTGTACTTATGTACATAAGTACTTATCCATAATGTTGATTACCTTTACCTCTTGTTATCTTATCTTTATTATTAACTTATCTTATTTATCTTACAGTTATCTTATCTGTTAATTACTTATCTATTAAATACATACCTGTGTAATACATAAGTAATTATCACTTACCTTTCACTCCCTTGTCCGTGAAATACCTGTACCACAAGTTATCCCTCTGCTACAGTATTTTCACGGTCAAATATTATTACAAATAAATATGTACATGTATTAAATAGTAAGTATTAAGTGTCAATAGAATTAATACATTCAATACATGCACTGATCACAATTATGACTACATTATTAGAGGATCTGTTAAGTACACATCAAGAGCAACTAGTACATTGATCAACTAGTACACAATTATGATGTCACTTACAGATCATGACAAATAATGATCAGTCACTCAATTGATGTGCTCATTCTCCTGGCCAAAGCTCCCTTGATTCTGAGCGCTCATTCTTTCCCCCCTTCAGTATTCTGGAACTTATAATCCGTGCCTCTTTCACTGATTAATCCCCAGAATATTCAGACACCAGTTAAACCAGTTAACATTTATATTGATACAGTACACGTAACCAACATAAATCTTGTCTACATTTATTGTTCTTAAGCTTCAGTACTCTTACTCAACTTATCCACAGTATTCATAGCCTTGCTGAATATTCCCATCAACAATACCTGTTAATCTTCAACTAATTTTGTTAAAGCTTAATAAGTATTGTTAGCCCATTCCCTTTGGGGAATAACCAAATTAATCCCAGGTGAGTCT